CCCGCGCCCCCGGCCCAACCCGGCCCGGCCCGATGCGGCGGAAGCAGAAGCGGCTGCTGCAGGCGCTGGGGCTGGCGCTGGCCGCCCTCGTCTTCCTGCCCAACGTGGGGCTGTGGTCCCTCGCCCGCGACCCGCGCCCGCCCCACGGCGCCGCCAGCCCCGCGCAGGTGAGCCGGGGGGCCACGGCCTTGTAGACCTGAGGTGGAAGTGATTGGGGGGGCAGAGGACCAGCCCCTACAGGGGTGGAGGAGGCTGTGTTCGTGCACAGCGTTCGCGGGAGCTGCACCTACAGGGGGTTGATTAGGGATAGCTGCCCCTGTAAGGGTGGGGAGGGGGCAGCGCTTTCTATAGGTGAAGGAGGACGTGCCCCAATAGGGGGGTTGGGGATGTGCCCCTGTAGGGGAGAAGGTGGGGGCTGTGTCCCTCTAGAGCTGCCGCTATGGGTGAGAGGGGTCCTGAGGGGATGGGGGATGTACGGGGAGGGGGCAGGGTCTGCCTCTGTGGGTGCGTGCATGGGAAGGGGGCTGCAAGCGGTGCCGGGGTTGCGGGCCTGCGAGGTGCAGCCCTTTTCCTGCGTGAGGGTGACGGACGATTACCCCCCCGCTCCGGCTGAGGCTGGCGGGGAGACGGACCGTGCCCTCTTTCCTTTTGCTTTGCTTGTGGGAGCGAGGGCAGAAAAGCTGCCCCCCAGCCGGCCTGCCAAGGGCCCCCCCATCCCTCACTTCCCCTAGGGATGTGGGAGCTCGCTGGTGGGCCCTGTGCCCCCTGCCTCCGGCCGTCCCTGGGGCTGGGGGAGCAGGGGAGGTCTCTGGGGCCTGTCTCTGAGAGGTGGTGGTACCCGATGCCCCTCTCCAAGCTCCATCACCCCTATGGGGAAGGCAGGGGTGGAGGTTGGTGCTGCTTTGCTCTGGCTGGCATTTTGGGGGTCCCCAAGCCTGAAGCTCCCTCCTGGGTTTCTCTCCTCTCCCATTCCGGCCGTGGCCCGACAGTGGGTCAGGGCTCCCGGATGTCTCTGCATGCTGTCACTGGGAGTCCCCCCTGTGCAGAGCCGCTTCAACTCCGTCCTCCATCCTTCAACGTCGTCTCAGTCCTTGCGTCCCTGGAGACTTGCTCGCAGGGCCGTATGAGCGGGCAAGAGCAGTCCAAAAGGAAGCCGATTGCAGACCGGAGCATCCAGCTAGGAGGGGGCAAGGGCTGGTTGCAGTCGTGCCCCCGGGACTGTTCCCAGCTGCTAGTGAGGTGGGGCGGTCTGTGTCGGGGCCTGTAGCCAGTGCCCCGTGGCATGTGAACGTGTAGGGACTTTGCAAGCAGCCCTGAGGGGTTTTTTAGGATGATACCCAATTAATATTGCATGTCTGGAGTGCTTAGCGCTGCTGCCTTATCACTTGTGTTTCTGTTGCAAGTCGTGACTCCGTTTTGCCGAGCACTGTGATAAACTCCAGCCCTTGCTCTACAGCTTCACATCGTCTGTGGAGTGGTGTAATGTGAGATCCTGTCCCCCCTTGGAGAAGGGAAGATTTGCCTTGATCCTCAGGGAAGTCTTCATAGGTCCTTACTGGAACATAAGAGTTAACTGGAGTTCAGTCTTCAGAGGCTGAAAAAACCGTGCGAATTAAGGTGGCTTTTTATTTTGGCCTTTCAAAATCATCTCAGTAGCATGGCTCAGTGTTGGACTAGCAATAAGCCCTTTCAGTTCCTTCCTCTGTCATTCAGTTTTTCTTGTTGCAAGGCTTCTGTGCTCCCTGGACTGAGCAGTGGAGTTGATGCTTTGCATTCTCCTCCTGCTAATTTTTTTACACTTATTTTTCTGACAAATGTCACTAAATTTAGCCTTGCCTTTAGCTTGGATGGCGTGCTGTGGAGGACAGGAATGGTTTTGGCACTAGTGTTGACAGGCCCTGGGACATCTTGGTAACCGCCGAATAGTAGCGCCCACAGCAGGCTTGTCATTTTATCTAACAGAAAACCCATTTTCCCTGTCCCACGTTGTTCACGATCTTAATTTGTGGCCAGCTTCATTTATTTTTAATTCCTGTAAATTAGTCTGTCTGTCTGTCTGTCTGTCTTTCTTTCTAAGGCAGAAAAACAGAAGGGGAAATCCTGCACACGGAGGGAGGGCAAAGGCTATATAACCTGTCTTGCCGTATATACCGTAATTGGAAATATGTTTGTGGTTTAAATCAAATCCCAGAGTGGTGAGAGTTTATAGGGAGGATGGAGTACGTGCTCTGTCCTGCAAGCATCTGCATTTATATTCTCATCGCTCTGTTGACTCCAGGGGGGAAAGTCGGAGTCAAGTTGGGGGAAGATGTCCGTTTTGGCAGAATCAGGCCTTAAGGAATCGATTGCTCCAACTATAAGGAGGGGGGAAGAATTGCCCATGAGGATAAAGCTGGTTCTGTAGGAGGAAATAACTTGAAGTGAAAGGGAATTAAAACAAAAGCAATGTTTTATGATTGTCACAGATGTGTCCCCTAGCTGATTAGGAAGTTTTATTGGACCAGGGTTCCTTCTCACACTTGCCAGTTGTGACCTCTTCTTATCAGGTTTGATAAGCATTCATGGCCTTTTCTCTTGATTTATCATCTTCCAGCTTGTAAATCAGATAATAGTCCTGATATTATCCAGTGCTGTCTCTTCCTAGAGCCGGGGCAAGGAATTTAAGAGCATGACTTCTAATTATAATCTTGTAGAAGACGGTGGTCCTAAAAATCCAGTAGGCTAGACAGTGGGCAAAAAAGGTTATTTGCCTGTTTCCAGGGTTGATTTGTCTCTCTGTGGCGGCTGATCTGATCAAAAGGCTTTGTGGAATCTGAAACACTTTTTTGATACGATGTGGAAATTAAACTGTTCAATAAAACTTCTGCCTTGTCTCGTTCCCTTTTTTAAAAATTTTTTTGTAAACGCCACCTTCACTAAGTAGTTTTCCATCTTTCACAATAATGGCACAGAAGAAAAACCTTCTCAGCAGCGGTTGGATTAAAAATATAAAAAGCAATTCCTAGAACAAAGATGCAATGCCAGTGATTTTTTTTTAACTTTAAATCATAATGGGGACACATCTGGGTTTCATCTTTGTGCTTCATGTTACCTCTAGAATGGCAACCAATCTGTATAGGGGATTTTACCCTATTTAATCTTTCTAGTGCCGGAGACAAATGCATCAGTAAATTAAGCAATCACAGGCCATGTAAATATGTTCTAGGAAAGATTATGTTAAATTGTTTCCACCTAAATGCCTAGACAGCTAATCGCTTGCACATTTGCATGCGCAGGTGAAACATAAGGCTGGCTGAAAAGAAGGTATTGATTTAATAATGCGGATTAGAACTGCTGGCGTCCTTTTTTTTTGCTGTTGGGTTTGTGCTTTGGAGCTGTGAATGTGAAGGTTTTTTATTATTTTCTGTGGAAGAACAAAGCCGTAAGAAGTCGTGGGTTTTGCAGATGTCACTAGAGACATTGATGTTACGAGTCGTTCTACGACTGCTTGCTCAGAAGCATCCTTGCGCTGTTACGTTGGTATAATTGCTCGTTAGATATTATAAAATCAGTGTATACCTCAGCACCTGTAACAGCAGCGTGCAGGGACTCCTCAGCCTACAGGTGTTCCAGCACTTCTGCCGATAACCAAACAGCGCAAGAGCTCCGCTGCGTTCCTGCTCTAGCATCTTAACTTTAGAAATAAACTCTCGTGCAAATCTCAGGACACCTGCATGGCAAAATTTGTAAGTCTTTGCTGAAGGCAAAAAAGATGCAAGTACAAATATTAGGTGAAACGCTGTAGTTGGCAGAAACAGGGATGCAGATGGGGGTGTGTGTATGTATGTATACCTGCTAAATGCAAAGTATGGTTGACTCACCCACTCTCTCGCTTGCATTTGTAGGCTGCCTGTTACTGCAGCAGAGCCACACTTTTCTGTGCTGCTACGTTGGGGCTGTCGGGATACCTACCTGTGCTCTTGATAGTGCCCCGAAGACTGTCTTCAGCACTTGCTAATCCGCCACTGCTGCTGCACACTGGGTCTGCCCTGACTAGTACAGATTATTGAAGTTCTTCTCTAGTGGGGACACCTTTGTTTCCAGACTCCTGGTCTGCTGGCTAGATATGCAAGCCAGCAATTTGAGTTAGGGCTTCCTATCCTAAGCAGCAAAGAGTACTGCTGATGGTGCCCAGGGTCAATTAGGAATGCTTGTGACCTGTAGTGCAGTAATCCCCCCTTATTACCCTCTTGGCTTTGTGGCCTGCTCACATACACTGGGTAAAACCTGGCCAAGAACCTATTCTCAAAAAGTCCCAATTGGGGAACCTACTTGCACTTCTTTGAGATACCAGATCTGTCGCATATGGAGGGAACTTGTTTTTTTCTTTTTTAAATGCTGACTCTTTTCCGTTCTGGTTTTATATACTTTAGTGGGGGGGGTGAGGTTCAGGGCATGAAAACTCGCTTTGTAAAATTTGTATTTAGAATAGCCAAATAGGATGATGATAGCAAATTGTCTACCCTGCAGTCTCTGTATCTTCTATTACTTACTTGTGCGTACACTTTAGAGAGCAGCCCTGTAGCTGGCTGTAGCTATAACAAGTAGTCCATGAATTCAGCGGCATGTGATAAAACTACATAAATCACACAGGTGATTATTCAGAGTGGTGCCCTCTGCTGTTAGCTTGAAAGAGTAAAGCAAGATGCATCCACTTTCAGCTAGTTTGTCAGGACATGTATAAATGAGTTAATTGAAACGTCATCATTGAAAGTAAGGAGCTTTTCCCGATGAGTTTGAGATTGCAAGCTGTAGGCTGTGGTAGAAGAGATGTTTTAAGCTGTATAGTGGCAACAATGTCCTTCTGACCAGG